AAAAAAAAAAAAGGAAAAAAGAAAGAAAGAAAAGAAAAAGGAATCCTAGGGCTCAGAAGTTAACATAACTAATTTAATATAAAATAAGAGAAGGAATTGAAAAGACGGAACTATCCAAATACCTAGATGGACAAAAACCAACAGGTGACAATTAAATGGATATCCCTTCCCACCTGGGATCTCAGAAGACAAATTTGCCTGGAACTGGTATGAATTCCCAGACTGCTTGGCTGGTCTGCTAGAGTGAAGAAATGCACAGATGGTTTGCATCTCAGCTCTCTGATTGCAGACAACACTTAATATCTCTGAGCTACAAGTAATAAAACCTTCCTTGCAGGGGGTTGGGAGGATTAGAGACAGTGCAATAAGTCAAACGCTGGCACTATGCCAAACACCAGTTCCCTCACAGTTAAAAGGGTAGCCCTTAAGGTTAAAAGTAGCCCTGAGCTAATTTTCTAACTAACTCGTTCAAATCAATAATAATAATAGTAAAAATAATAAAAACCCTACTAGAATAATGGGAAAATTCATAGAAAACAAATAATAATGGCTAATTAACATACAAAGAAAATGTTCAACTCAACTCATAAAGACATGCAAATGAAAACAGTGACACACAATTTTTCATTCTCAAATTGGCAATGTTTTGAAAGTATGATCATACCAGTGCTGGCAATGGTGCGGGGAAAACAACGCTCAGACACTGTTGGTAGGAGTATATATCACTATAATATTTTTGCAGAAAAACTTAGCAATATGTAACACAAATTTAAGTGTGCATATCCTTTGACTCTTTAGTTTGGCTCCTAAGAAACTTTTAGATACACCTACATAAATAATTATGAAAAGATAAATGTACAAGGATGTTCATTGCAAAATCTTTTGTAACGTCTGAAAACTGGAAGTAACATAAATGCCCACCAATTGAAGACAGGTAAAATAATTCACGACACATCTGTATAATAGAATAATATACAACATTAAAAAGAACGGACTGCGACAGCCATAAGGAAGGATGAGATCATGCCATTTGAGACAACATGGATGCACCCAGGAAGTATTATGCTAAGTGAAATAAATCAGACTAAGGAAGACAAACACCATATGATTCCACTCATAAATGGAATCTAAAAAAAATGAACAAACAAAACCAGAATCAGACCTATAAATACAGAGAACAAACTGGCAGTTGCTAGAGGGAATGGGGTGACGGATGGGCAAAATGAGTGAAGGGGAGAAGGAGATACAGGCTTCCATCTATGGAATGAGTAAGTCATGGGAATAAAAAACACAGCATAAGGACTACAGTCAATGATATTGTAATAGCAGTGTAACACCACAGCTACACTTGTGAACACAGCATGATGTATACACTTGTCAAATCACTAAGTGGTATACCTGAAACTAATGTAACATTGTGTGTCAACTATAATCAAATTAAAAATAAATTAAATAAGGGGCGCCTGGGTGGCGCAGTCGGTTAAGCGTCTGACTTCAGCCAGGTCACAATCTCGCGGTCCGTGAGTTCGAGCCCCACGTCGGGCTCTGGGCTGATGGCTCAGAGCCTGGAGCCTGTTTCCGATTCTGTGTCTCCCTCTCTCTCTGCCCCTCCCCCATTCATGCTCTGTCTCTCTCTGTCCCAAAAATAAATAAACGTTGAAAAAAAAAAATTAAAAAAAAAATAATAAATTAAATAAATTTTTAAAAAATGGAGTACATTTTTATGTACTAACATGGAAAGAAGTTAAGATCTATCATGTTTAAAATATAAGTTGCTGAACAATTTTAGTCTGGTCTGATTTATACATGTCAATTGTTCATGTATATGTATAAATATACACACATTTGTATAAAGAATTTCTAAGAAAACATTTAAGAAACTAATAGAAATATGGGGAAAGGTAGCTTGTGACCTTTTACTTTCTTCTGTGCAGATCAAATTTTTCACTACGTGCAGGCATTTTTCTTTAACCCAGGGCTGGGGGCCAGTGTGGAGTAGCAGGTATCAGCCTCAGTACTGTAGGAGAAAACTTCCCATTTGCAACTTCAAGGGGCTTTCTGAGTCTTTGGTTTGGCCTTAGAACCTATGAAAGCTGCTGTGTTCATCACTCTCTTTCAACCAGGCAGAGCACAGGACCATCAGGTGGGGCAGGGGTGGTTTAGAAAGAAGCCTTACATTTCCCCCTTCACACAGGGATGTGAAGCAACGAGGGCTTAAGTAAAAACAAATCAACCAATATTCCACATGCTTCACTGTGCTTAGCACTGGGGGACTCCAAAAACACACAGGCAGTCCCCAGCTGGAAAATTGTGCTGGCTCTCCTAGGAAAAATCTCCTCCACTGCTAGCCCAGTGCAAACATTCAACACATTCCACTGCTTAATTGTATGGTAGTAACAGATGTCATCCGAGTACTAGGGCAAGGCAAGTTTCATGAGGCAGTGTGGTAGAAGAGTTGAGAGTAGACGCTAGGCCAGCCTAAACCTTGACTCTGCCACTTAGGGGCTTTCCTCCCTATGGCAAACTTCTTTTCCTCCCTGCGCCCCAGTTTCCCCACTGGCAAAATGGAGATACAATGGTATCTACTCCATAGCTTATTCTGAGGATGACATAAGATAATGTATGGAAAATAACTAAAACAGACTAAGTTTTCAATTGCTCGGATTTTTATTGCTGTTATCTTTAAAAGGAGACAGAAAGAGGCATAATATTTTCTTTTTTAAAACTTTTTTGAATGTTTATTTATTTTTCAGAGAAAGAGAGAGTGCAAATAGGGGGGGTGGGACAAAGAGACAGGGAGAGAAGAATCCAAAGCAGGTTCCAGGCTCTGGGTTGTCAGCACAGAGCCTGATGCGGGGCTGGAACCCACAGACCACGAGATTATGACCTGAGCCGAAGTTGGACACTTAATCAACTGAGCCACCCAGGTGCCCCAAGGCATATTTTCCACTCTGGCTCTGGGCTCAGAGCTAATTTTGAATTTTTATTTAATATTTATTTTTGAGAGAGAGACAGAACATAAGCAGGGGAGAGGCAGAGAGAGAGGGAGACACAGAACCCAAAGCAGGCTCCAGGCTCTGAGCTGTCAGCACAGGGCCCAGCGTGGGGCTCGAATTCACGAACCATGAGATCATGACCTGAGTCGAAGTCAGATGCTTAACTGACGAGCCACCCAGGTGCCCTGTGGGGTCAGAGCTAATTTTGAAATAAGCCACCATCCCACCACCCCCTCCAACCCTCCCTGGCCCCTACCCAGTGCTCTTGCGCCCCTAAGCCTGCCTATCACAGCCTACCACCCCTGTCTCTCCTCACCCATGCCTTCATCCCCAAGTACTCCATGCTCCAAGATGACTCCCCAACTTCCTAACAGACGAGTTCCTGTCCCCTTGGTGCTAATGATCTCAGCCTTTATTTAGGAAGAAAAGGCTGATCCATTAGCTTTCTCAGAGGTGGTTGTTTTTAAAAGACTAAAATGAATTCGGATTGTGGGATTTCTAATTGTAAAACATGTGAGAGGTACAGGTCAAAGAATGTGCATGCTGGGAGTGGGGAGGGAGAAAGGTGTTGTGCTCCCTTGTAGACAGTCAGCTGCCCTAAGCAATCTCTGCTTTATGCAATATGTTCCTTCTCTTCATTTCTTTTAGTTTTTGGAATTGAGATAAAATCCATATACCATAAGATTCACCATTTTCAAGTGTACAATTCAGTGGTTTTCAGCATACTCACAAGGTTGTGTAACCATCACCTCTACCTAATTCCAGAACATTTCATCACCCCAAAAGAAATCCCATACCCATTTGCAGTCACCCCCCAGTCCTTCCCCACCAGACCCTGGCAACTACTAATCTGGTTTCTGTTTCTGTGGATTGGCCTATTCTGGACATTTCATATAAATGGAATCATACTATGTGGCCTTTTGGGTCTGACATCTTTCACTTGGCATAATGTTTACAAGACTCATCTATGTTGCAGCATGTATCAATACTTCATTCCTTTTCATGGATGAATAATATTCCATTGTATAGCTAGCTGTACCATATTTTTTAAATATCCATCCATTGGTTGATGGACTGCCTCCCCATTTCTGAGCCCAGAGGACTCCTAAAAACACCAAAGATTTACCATGTAAGCAGCTGGACTGGAATGTCAGAGATTTCTTTCCACAAACCCAAGAATTAAATACAAGATTGAGACTCTGCTCCAACCATTTGAAGAGAGCTGTCAGTCATCACACTGCTTACCTTCCCCAGAGGTGGGTGTACATCAAAGAAAAAGGTACGGTTGATATAATAACTTCCCATTTTTCCAAAGTGAGTCTCATCCCAACTAAAGGAAAAATAGAGAAATGAGAATTTTTAAATTATCATACAATCCAAATAGCCATAATACAACATTGTTAAATTACAGTTAAAACCAAAGGCTGTAAGTTTTAATCAGTTAATGAGAAAATATGGATTAAAAATTTTTTGACACGTTGGGACATGTAGCTGGCTCAGTTGGTAGAGTATGCAACTCTTGATCTTGGGGTCGTGAGTTTGAGCCCCATGTTGGGGGTAGAGCTTACTTAAAAAAATTTTTTTTGACACAAGTAATTGGAGGAAGACATCACACTGATAATTAACCTTTATTGAGATAGATGAGAAAGGTTAGCAAATATTTACCAACCAGTTAAAAATTTAAGTGAAATCTATACTTATTCTGTAGCTTGAGCTTCTATTCATTTTATTTATTTTATTTTATTTTTTTAACATTTATTTATTTTTGAGAGACAGAGCATGAGCAGGGGAGGGGGAGAGAGAGAGAGGGAGACACAGAATCCAAAGCAGGCTCCAGGCTCTGAGCTGTTTGTTAGCACAGAGCCCAATGAGGGGCTTGAACTCACAAACTGAGAGATCATGACCTGAGCCGAAGTGGGACGTTCAACCGACTGAGCCACCCAGGCTCCCCAACTTCTATTCATTTTAATAGAACAGAGTTTTCCTATAAAATAAAAAGGCTTGAGGTAAGGGTTTTCTCTCAAGTCTGTTACCTTCTGACTCCGAGACTACTTTGCTACTAGAAAGCAGATTACTATTGCTATTACAAACTACACCGTGGGGCTATTGAACAGTAAGAGACTACAAACTGGTTGTCACAGGAGTCTAATTTCACTCGTTAACCCTCTGGTACTTAACCTGCTGACCATGAACTCACTGAGCTTATTATAATGAACTAATCAGTATATAAAAATTGAGTTAAGAGCCTACCTAGAAGCTATCCTCGTTGCACAAATTATTAAGCAAGTAAATAAGTGATTCTAATATGTTAGCTTTTAAACACAATGCAGAGATCTTGTTCTTCTATATGACCTTTTCACATCCTGCACAAAGAGTTTACGGAAGCAGCCCAGTTAATCCGGTACAGCCTGGCTATTTCTGTCAGTTCCTCCCTGCAGCTCAGAAGAACGGTTGCTTTCTAGGGACTAGCCATCCCCAGATCAGCTTCCATAAGCAGTTATTACCAACCTACAACGTAAGGGGCAAAACATGCTTTTCCCCAAAGTGTAGGGCTCTTTTTTTATTCTTTAATTCAGTGGGTCCAATAGTAAGGCAGAAGAGTAAATCTATTTCTGCATCTGTTTGCTTAATGCTCTGCTTGACACGAAGTAAGAACAGTGGCATGGAGATGTCAAAGAGAGAAGTAACTTCTGAGCAGTGTGACAAAATGGATTTGCAGAAAGAAGAGAAATCAGTCCCAGTTCCACCACTTACCAACAGCGCAACCTGGCAAAATCACCCACCCTCTCTGGATCTCTGTTCTCATCTACACAATGAAGACAATAATATCTGCTATGTGCCCTTCACAGGGAAGTATTAGGACTCAATTTAGAAAACATGTGAAAGAACTCTGTAGACTATAAAATCCCATACATTTATAAACTGTCCCAACTGGGCACTATTTAAACTGCCCCAACACCTCTGGTTAGTGTTGAGGTCTGTTTGGAAACATATTGACAAAGGGGTATGAGATTTTTACTTCAAAAATTTCCCAAGTAAAACTAGTAGTAACATTCACATCTCTTCTTGGCTTTTATTGTGTGTTTGTGTTGGGAGAGACGATCCTCCCTGACTCTCTCTTGCTCCTACAGACCTTGCTGGGTATGCCAAGAATGCAAGGTCCTGGCTGCTCTTCACTCAGGCCATTTCTCAGGATATGTTTGCAGAAAGGCAACCTTGAGAGAAGAGTTAGCATCTTCCTCCGGGACAGAGGGCACTCTTGTTTACTGCTTGTTATAAAACAGTGGATTCCCCAAGCTCAGTATCCCTCAGCTGTGAGGCAACCCACTGCACGTGCAGGCATTCATTCAGACCCATGGCATCACATGGGAATTGGGGAGCAAGAGGAACACATGCCCACCTGCTGATGCTCTCATCCTGCTTGCTGTGCCATGAAAAATAAAGTCTTTTGTCTCTAACCCAGTACTTCGTCTTCTGCCAGCATCCATAAAATAATGACAGGCTAACTTACTAGTTTGTAAGTTGGGTAAAATAAAATCCTAGACCCTGACTGTGGTCACAAGCATAAGATGCCAAGACATACCTTTCCGTAAGAGAAAGGACAAGGGCCCCATAAGCTGGGAATGGAATCTGGTAAATAAATGCCCTTATCCAAGTGGTGGGCAAGGAAGGTAGTAAGAGTCTCCCACCATCTTACCTATTAATGAGGCTGAATGGAGAAAGAAACAGTTTGAAAGCTGCCTTGGTTACTGCTCACTCTTCTGGCAAAATAAGAAAGAGATGTAATCATGACAATGGGGCAGCAAGCCTAGCAGGCGCAGCTAAAAGGCAATATGCATATGGCTGCTGAATCAAGGAGTCTCCAAAGCTTTCATAAGTGGTGCCAGCAGTAAGGAGATCTTGCTATTCAATATAGAAAATTGGGGCAAAATGAACACATTGAAAGCTCCCTGGGTGAGCTGTGTGCTCAAAAGTAAATGTGCCTTGCTTAGTGGCTCAGAACCACTCTCTCCCTGTGTCCCATGATCCCTCCTCCTCTACCACAATCTCAGCTGTGTTAAAAAAATAAAATAAATAAAATAAAATAAAATAAAATAAAATAAAATAAAATAAAATAATTAAAAACCAAGGTCTCCCTCTCCCTAAAGGGGACTGAAAGCCATACACATGTATCCTACCCCCTGCATCCAGCACTCCACAGTCTCCACTGGGGAATGGCATAATCTTTGGATGGCTGTCACTATAATTACTGATGCAGGCCTATTAGATTTATAAGTTCAAGGGGGAAAAAGCACCCAAATTCAACTGACAGGGTCTGAGCCAAGCTCCCAGTGGGGAAGGAAAGGTAAAATGAGCTGTGGGTAAGGCCCCTATATTACTATTGTGGTTCCCACAGTGGGATGTACACTGGCATCGATCCTATAAGTGTCAAAGGGGATTATCCCATTCCGGGACTGCTGTGTGTTGAGTGGTGATCCTATCCTATCCTGGGTGGTCCAGAAGAAATAATATAAATCCCAAGAAGGGAAAGTGAAATCACAGCCATAAAGACATAGGGCAGCTAGAGCCAGGAGAGGCCATTCTCCAGGATAACAGCGCCATCTGCTGGACACAGGTACCAAGCACATACTATTTAAAAGGGACAGCTATCGGGGCGCCTGGGTGGCGCAGTCGGTTAAGCGTCCGACTTCAGCCAGGTCACGATCTCGTGGTCCATGAGTTCGAGCCCCGCGTCGGGCTCTGGGCTGATGGCTCAGAGCCTGGAGCCTGTTTCCGATTCTGTGTCTCCCTCTCTCTCTGCCCCTCGCCCGTTCATGCTCTGTCTCTCTCTGTCCCAAAAATAAATAAACGTTGAAAAAAAAATTAAAAAAAAAATAAATAAAAATAAAAGGGACAGCTATCAACCCACTAAGCCTTTATTAAAACTGAGTGCCCGACCCATGAAGGCCTTAGGACTCTTTGGCTTGATATTGCCACCTTGGGGTGAGTCAACTTAGAATCGAAGGCTACAAGGGAAGGGCTCAATAGGCTTGCTGGTCAAAGGAAGTGATATAGCTGGCCTGGCCCTAGGGGCATCTTGATTTTTTATAAGAGGTAGGAGCTCCCACTTTGGAGAAACTATCTTCCACTCCGCCACCTGAAGCAAAACCACTGGCTCAGCGGAGTCTTGATTCACAGAGGTTCCTCTCAAGGCCTGGTTCATTGATAGCATCCACTGGGCAGCAACAATCATCCGGTCTCAGTGACAACTCTGGAAGGCCAGCTGTAATAATGGTTGATGGGCACAATTGGCTGAATTGAAAGTCATTGCTCTTGCCTTACACAATAGTTTTGAGAAACAGACAAGTTATACTTTTATTGGCTCTTGGGCTTTTACCACTAACCTAGCTTCTGTGTGCCACCTAGAAGACTATATACTGAGAAATTTCAAACACTCCTCTTCAGAGCCAAGAACTGTGGGGGAAAATGTCATGGCTTCCTGTCAATGGGACAATCTGGATCACTCACACAGATGCCCACAGTAAGGACCAGTATTCTGATAAGACTGACTGAAATCAAGCTGCAGATTAAGCTTGTACCAAATAGACTCCTGCCATTGCCACCTGGATTCATGAATGCCCCAGGCATGGAAACACATCTATCATCATGGACTGGGCACAAAGTAAAGGACTATATGTTTCTGAAGCAGAAGCCATCACTGCGTTGTGGTGACTTGTGACTCCAGCCAAAAGCTGACCAGTTTGTCTTGCAATAAAGGAGGCCACATCGCACTGGGCATTGACTCTGCCCACTCCAAGGAAACTAACTGTTTTAGGACTTTGTTCCCCTCTCCGGGCTATCACTGGTGCCTTACTGTTATGGACACTTTTTCAGGTTACAGTGTTGATGATGCTGTTCCAGTCTAATTATCTGACTCCACATATGTCATTGGGGTCCTTGAAACTAAACAATGTCATTCCAAACCATCCACAGTCTGACAATAGTGCACTTTTTCTCCCCTTATTATTTTCCCTTATTATTATTCACATAATAATGAGCCAATAGTCAAGGTACTTGATGACATTCCATACTCCCTACCCTCCACAGGCATTTGGTATTGTCAAGCACAGAACGATTTCTAACTCTGCTTCCCTCACCTCTTCCTGGTTCACACTCCTTAGTTAAGCAGTTTGGTCACCTAATGCAGTCATCATCAGAAAGGGCTCATCTCCTCTTGGCCAACAACTGGGTAATGATCAGGATAAAAGAGGTGGAGAGTTATATAAACCTACATTTTGAACATTTTAGATTCTTCCTGGACTATTCCTGAGCATGATTTGTCCTTCTTTCCCCTAACAACTCCAGATCAGCAGGGGGGAGGGAGTGGGAGATTCAAACTTAAGCCAATATGCTGATGTTCATCCTACTTCCTGCCCCATGAGTAAGTCCTTTATCTCTGACCCAGGAGTCTTGTGTCTTCTGCCAACACTCATGAAACAATAATGGGCTAATTTATTCACCTCCCAGTAGGATAGCCCAGATAGGTTATAGCTGGCTTTTTGGTCAAAGAGTTCCATTTCTAACATTCCCTACACTAACTTTCTTGTCAGGGATACTGACAAAACATGGTATCGCTTGTTCACTAATAAATTAACCATTTTCAGATTGTAACTTTTTCTCCTTCTAGTTGGAGACTTTTTAAACTTATCTCATGAAATCTGAGTCCTACAAAATAAAGCCTTTAAGAACACAAGTCTCTCCTCACAAAAGGGCCCCAGACCTGCTTCCTGAGACCCCTGTCATCATCCCTGGACACACAAATTGTCGTCCC